ACCGAGACGTCACGCGCTTCTGTCATGCGTTGCTTCGATTACTCCACCAAGGTGCCGGAACAGATCGCACAATTCGGAGGATAAGAAAAAGAGGTCCCAAACGATAGGATAAAGATGCGATTCAATGTAATTGGCTAAAGAAATCCGATTAAGTAAAACTGTAAGTGACAGGAAAACTTAACCCTGGCCTTAACCCTCGATTTAATCATCGTTAAAAGCCTCATTGCCACTTATGTAAACTAAATATAAAGTGTCTACCCGACATCAAATAAGTAGGTATGATATAGAAACTGAAGACTAGTGTCGCATTGGTCGTTGCCTATTTTTGTCAGGCTGCTTGATTGCCGGACAAAAGACGAGGTTTTCATTTTTCCCAGGACTAGTCTCTTTAGAGTTCACAGAATGGAACAGGAAGACTTGAGGGACCCTCTCTGGTCGCTTATTCTGAACACAAATCGCGAACGCCCCTGGTGTAAGCTTGGCTTTATTCATACGGCACCTATAATGAACTGCACTTTGGATGACCTGAATCAAGGCTGTGTTCAGATTGGGGTCGCGACACGCGTTAAGCAGGTTGCACAGAGCCCGCGCGTCTCATGACAACTATCGTCCCGCCCATCGGCCGCCAGACGTCACTTAGGACCACGGCACTCCAGCGGAATGACCTGCGCTCCGAAGTCCAACTTCCTTCCATGTATTCTTCGTTCCTTTGTGTACAAAACAAATTATTCCTTCTTTTCTGGCCTCCACTGACTTTTCCTCTACTAAGTGACCATTGTCAGAAGATGGCAGTTGCTAGGGTTCAAATCACTTAACCCCCTGCGACAAGTTCTTCTGCACGTCATTTGTCTTTACTAGCATATGGGGTCTTGATGTGCATAGTAGAATCGAACCCTTTCAAAGCACGCTCGATGTCTTACTGGGTTCGATAAAAAATAGTAGCAATAGTCGATTGCGCTCATCCATCGATTATAGAGCCAATTGGCGTTCACCCTCGAGCCCTGTCAGCAGTTGCGCAGTGGTCAATAAGATAGCCCCCACGAGTTAGACGAGGGAATCAGGTAAAACCCCTCCTAGCCTATGAGCAGTCAACAGGTGAACGTACGCAACCCCAGATGCTGGACAACCCGAGAATCGAAGCCCCCCGCCTACTGCTTAGTCATTGCGTCTAGTACTTGTTCTATAGCCGATTGCGTTCCGCAATATTCAGAATGATCGATTACTGATCTCATTTGTCTGATATAATGGTAAGGCTCATTCTAAGGACCGTTCTCCACCTCCAGTCGGCGAGTCGCATGCCGGCCAGTATGAGATAGAAAACAGTGCTTGACATAAACAATTATGGCCAGAAACGGTTAGATCAGGCAAACTAGCTGGCAACCGTCAGCTGTCCTGAAAACGACTGCAACATAACCTGAAAAGTAAGCCAGCTCTCTGTTGGGATTAGCGTCCGGCGGTATAACTACGGAACCACGGGTTTGCTGTTGGGTCCTTCTTACGCACAGCATGCTAACGCGTAACGGACCTTATACTGATTGACCGTATCACATGCGCAAACTGTCGTCATGTTAATATTGGTCACTCAGCCCGATAACTTAGGACTCAAATTGACGAAATCAGCCTGGCTACCCGCTGCCAGGACTCCGTAATAATTGCGTTTGCGAACGCGCTTGATTACGAACATCGGCTCACTTTCGACGACTAACACTAAACATACGCGGAAGTTCCTGCAGTCTGCAGCATTAACCACTTTGTTGACCAATCTGTTCACTATGATCAACACATACACATTTTCATCCAAACATCATTCCCTCCTCGCCTCTGACGCAGGCAGTCACACCTGAGGCGCCCGACCTCACCTTCGGTTGTCACCACCACACGATTCGCACACTATCACAACGTCATCTGTCGGCCGCCTTGAACACCAGGATAACAGTCATCTCCCTCAATTCACAATTTTGTGTAAAAACCCATTGGTGCTAACTGTTGTAACGGAAGCCCAGGCCGACATATCAACGCCCAATAACGCCTTGTGTGAGTCCCCAAAGGAAGAACATGACAAGAAGTGTGCGACGGCAGAAGTCTTTTAGTGTAATAGGTACTACGTATTTAGGAAACAAACGCATGTAAACGATGTCCATTGAGGCAATCAGATTCTCTCCTGAAATAGTCGCCGGTATTATTGGCTGTTGGCTCAGTGAGTGTAGCTAGAAATTCAAATTATTGATTGATTTTCTAGCACGATGCGTTAGTTCACGCGTAGGCCGATCGATAGCCTATTGTGGACGAGGCTATGGCTTGCAAGCTATTGCTTGCTAAGGCTGTCGTTAGGCCGTCCTAACACTAACAACAGCATCAACTTGTGAACCAATTCAGGTTCCAATTTCTGATGATCTACACATGGGATTATTTATGACTAGTTCGCAACGGCTA